ATAGTATATTATTAAGTTATCGCATTATGCTAATCCGTATGACCTGTGGAATTTGATTAACACTATTCTATATTATAAAATCATTACTTGTACACTACTTGACTCAGATAATAGACCATTGATTTGATTCATTAATGATAAATTTATATATTATGTACGAATGCAAAATGTCGAGTTTTATTAATATGTTAATTGCGCGCTATATATTATTTTATTTTATCAATCACACAAAACTCTACGCAATATTATTTTCTAGTGATACCACATTATCTTCAAAGTACATATATTTGTAAAAAAACACAAGAGTACTTTAACATAATTATTCTATAAAACCACAGGCCGTATACAGCTACTCGACCACTATTCACCTTTGCCGGCTTCTTTACTTTATTAGTCATCGCAGATTACATTTTTATTTCAATTTTATTACTTTTACTTTAATTTCCGGACACCGAATACCACTTAACCGCTCATAACGGGTTTTTTTTTTCGTTTTTCCAAGTTATGTCCTAAGCTGTCCGCGCAGCGATTTTAAAACGCCGCAATAATGTCATTTATATTGTATATTATTATTATAATTATAAGTTTATAGTTTTATACTACAATTGTGTGTATGTGTTTAATGACCGCCCATTACTCATTAATACCACCACGCTGTACCGTTGTAAACGCTAACTTTAATATAATTTTATGTAAACACATTTTAATTGCCAATACTGTACTGCAGCAATTTGGAGGAGAGCTTAAATGCAAATATTTGCACCTATTTGCACCATTTATACCTATGGCACTCCTCTTTTTTTTAGTGAAACTGTGTCACTCATTATGTTAAAGTTTCGGCTGAAACGCATAATATTGTTATGCACAACGATTGTTTGTCGGCACGTTTGGCTGTACCCTGTACATGTTAACTGTTTTCTATATAGATCCTTCGTCGGAGTAATAAATCGTCGAGCCACGAGCTAAACGGCTCATCGCGGTCATTATAAAAAATAAAAGAATCGGAAGACCGTATAGTGAACACAGGTGAAACGGTGTCTTGGGTGGAATAAACGAGAGAAGAAAACTGAGAGAGATAGAGAGCTATAAGAGAGACGGAAATATCTGTTTGCAATAAACCACGTTAATGGGTCGGCAATTAAACGCGGACCTTTTTCTAAAAGGGGTCACCCGGTACGACCCGGAGGTGTTTTCCTCTAGATCCACACACACAGAGCTTATATATTATTATTATATACACTAAGCTGTGTACAAACACAAACGAACTACATATATATAATATTATTGTGTGTGTATGTGTGTGATTTACAGGTATTGTCCGCGTGCGCTCATTCACTGCCGCTACGGGTGGGGGGGGGGGCAAGGCCAATCAATTATTGCCCGTTTTTTTTTATTAGCCATAAAGGCGATACGTACAGTTCAAAGTTCACAAGTTGAACGCCACTCGCGCCATATAAAAATAGTATACGGTTCAAAGTTCGCAAGTTCCTTCTATGCGGTCCATTCAATTAAACTATTATCCGAACGCGATTAACCTCTGAACGGGCGAGACTAGCTCGTTATTAATTATTCGATTAGGTACAGTATAATATAGTTCCTATGTTAGGATCTAGTTTTCGATGCGAGGTCGCCATTGGAAAAAAACGAAACCAATACCTCATCTCGGTTTCGCATCGAAACCAAAACCTGTACCTAAATTATATACCTAAGATGTTATTTAGATGTCTTCGGTCGTACAAGCGGCCTCAAGGGACACGGCACGGCGTCGCGGCGACCATCAATCACTGTACGGATGTCAAAACGTCGTCGTTATACTATGTATCCGTATTGATATAACCTTAGGACAGGATAGGCTACAATGCAATATCGCTAGCAACAATGTACTTGCATCCTACGACAATAAAGACAAAAATCTGCTCCATTACGATCTGAACTACGAATGAAACATACTGTTAAAGAGTTTTTTTTTACATTTATAAAGGCTGTGTTTGGCATATTTGAGTTACACGAATGATAATGTGGATTAAATTGCAAAAAAAATGTCGCTACCTAGCAAAATTTGAAAAAGTTATGAAATGCATTTTTGAACAACCAACAGAACTTTCGGGAATGTAAAATATATAATGCACATTTGCCAAAGTTAAGTCGAATTAAGATTGACCCGGTTTGTTGACTCAAATCACAAATATACATGTTTTAGGTTTAGCACACTGAAATGCTTACAGATATAACTTCACTTAAATTATAAAAAAATGTAATAACAATACATATGTAGGTATTTAAACAATAAACATGAAATAAGGACTTCGATTTCTTCAACTAAATGTACAAAAAAAGTAACACCAATAACGTTTAAATAATCTACTGGTGTATATAAAACATTTATTTAGGGGTCACTAAACAAATTAATATTCAATTTGGGGTTCACCACAGTAAAAAGGTTGAGAAACACTGCTCTTGACACGAGTATATTATATTTTCTACTTGAACACCTTCCTTAAGTTATAACACTGGCCTATCATGTATCATGTTTAAAAGAGTGAAAATAGATAACGGATATTTACACGCCAAATTCCACCATACATGTTAATAATTATTATTATTATTATTGGGGGCCACGTTAAATTCGTATTAAACGTATGACCATTAAAAAAAACCAATTATATGACGGTAAAACTACTCTCAGCTAAATTGTATTTATACATATATTATATCTGACGTGCTAGGTATATACCGGGTGTTCCATCTAACACTTATGTTCTCGGAAATGAATTACAATTTCATAGTTTTTCTTTTTGGAAACATTTTCACATATGTTATTAAACGCCAGTTTAATTATACTTTTAAATTTTCACGTATACAACGTGAGGAAGGATGAAGGTAAGTGAAATATGTTATGTTCTCGCATTACATAACCGCATTCCATCTCACGTCTTAAACTTAAAATAACTTTGGTTTTTAAATGTAATTATTCAAAAATGATGCCTGGTTATCGACCAGTCAACATTTTAAGGAAACTAATCTTCTTTTAAAAAGTCAATTGAATTTTTTACGTTCCCATTTCAAGTTTCAAAAGTTAATAGCACTCTGGAAAATACTAAAAAAGATCAAATATGTTTGGTAATTTTATAACATTGTACACAGTGACATAAATAAAAACTAATGCCTTGCGTTAAACGGATCGCCCTGTATTATGTTAGGTTGAAGCGTACACACCGGATCGTTATGTGGTTCGCATAATCTGTATTAATATAATTGTGCATATATTATGAGCCATATCCCATACAGTACACTATATACAGTATAATATACTACTTAATAACGAATGACGAGGGCGCACATGCCATAATGATGGGCGGGTAATCGTAGATGCATGTTAAAAGACCTCTTCGATAATATATTAATAGTAATAATAACCACTTTTTTATTCGACTTGAACTCCGTTCATCATAATATATATCCTACATCCTATTCGATAGCTCAAAATAATTAAATTTTTTTACTTAAATTAACATCAATAAATTGTATCGATATTATTACATGCATGATGAATGATGATACTGTTATTATAATATAATATTATGTATGTAAAACGTCACAACATAAAATCACAGCCGGATTATGTACCACCGCAACCGTTCGCCGAGATAAGATCTGAAATATTTCGTTATATGCACTATATGTAGTTAAAACGGCTTACTTTAATAATATATATATATCATTAATATCATCATTCAAACAAGTTTTAACGCCGCAGCACAAGTAAGTGTGAAGAATATGAAATTTGTTCACGTTACTACGTTTTTCTTTATAATTTAATACATAATACTTATATAAATACTTTGTTTGAGCGGGTGTATCATTGGCATTTGACCGTACGGTATTTGTGCCTATATAAATGCACATGTATTCAGTATAATAATATGAGAAAAACATATAGAAACAAGGTGTCTGGCGGTTTGGCCGTGTTCCATATTATGTGCTCGTCGGCCGCATAATCATCCACCGTTATAATATTATCATAGGCAATGAGTGTCCCGAGTAAAAGAAGGTAAGTATACAAGAAAGAAAATCGTACGTCATTCGGATATAGTTTGAAGAGAAGGTCTCGACGATCAATAATCGATATCTTCACTCATAAAAAAAATATTGTGTACACAAGGTATTAGGTTGAGGCTTATGCTCTGGTGCGGTACAACGGGACATAAGATGAATGAAATCTTGTCGTGTGGGTGGACTCTTCTCCGCGAGAGGATCATAATATAATATTATAGTGTACCGCAGATAACGTGGAGCGATAGTGTATGTTTTTTAGCCCGTGGCTCTAAGCCCACAGTTTGTCGGAGGATGTGATAACTTTAGGATATTATGATATGATAATTATTTTGTTATTTCATCACAGAGCGGTACGTTTCTGCGAACCAACCGTGACATTAATGGAAATCCAGAAAAGCGCGTGCAATAGCCTCATACATATTATTATAATCACATAACAAAGTAAAAAGAAAAACAATAAATTATTGAATAGTAATTTGGTTGTGAAATCGTTTCTAATCGAAAATATCAATTGTCAAACTGCCGTAAGAAAACAAGAAAAGAAGGAGTGGGAAAGGTATAATGATAGAGGGAAATCGAACCTTTTTTTGGACTTGACAAGGAAAGTGTCAAAAACTTGTGGGAGGTGTTTTTGAACATAATATGTTTATTTTATAGACACAATCACACTTCATATTAGGTTAAACGTTTAGAGGTGTACACAATGCACGCATGTTTGGGTAAATTCATAAATGGTATTCTTTACAGCAGATTTTCATGACGCACTTTTAATGCGGCAAAGAGCTATTGATTTTGGAAGGTAGTAATAATGATAATTCAAAATAATCACAATATCGCCGCTCGCCCATTGACATCAGTAATTGTTAACACGCACGCCATTTTGCATATTAAATGCCTTTATATGTTTTTTAATAGAAAATTATTGGTTTTGTTTTTGTTTGCAGGCGCTAAGCGGGTTTTTGATGATGATGACCCAAAACGGCAAACTGTTGTACATATCGGATAACGCTGCCGAGTACTTGGGCCACTCCATGGTAAGCGATACACAATTTTTTATTACAAATTATTATTATGTTATTTTTATTTATCATTTCACAAGCACTACATGGTTAATTTTCTACTTTCTCCCTCGGGTCATACCTAAACGTATTATAAAGAGAAGTCTTGTGTTGACTATACGGACACAGTACATTTTGCAAACGGCAACCGTTATAATCATATCTTTCACAACGCGCGATTAACCTTTTGGGGTTAAAGCCGCCGTAGCTGCTGTCGATATAATATCACAAACAAAAAAAATATATAATATATCAAACAATATAATAAAATCAATTACCTAATTTCTAGACCGGTCCGATTTCCATGCCCGTGTATGCGTTTAAATATGAATAATAACAACGAGAACCGTTCGATAATAATTATTATGATCCGAAAGAAAATACATATATTGGAAACTGGTTTTGTGGTCACTGCTCCAGCCCGTAGGCCTAGCTCGGACGCCCACGCCTTTCACCCGCAATATATACATATATATACCTATATACGTATATTATGTTATTATGTAGATACATGTGTCGCTGGTTTCGAGATACCAAAACTGCAGCGACTTTCCGGAATACTAACAATATATACACGTACATATTGTAATAACACGTTTTCTTCCCCTCCCGCCCTCCCTTCTATATCATTCACTCTTTCTGTCTTGTCTATGTTGCTTATTTTGCGCTTCCTCCTCCGTACCATACACTCGCGACTGTTAATGGAAAAAAAAACGGATATCGGTTATTTATTACTAGTAATTTACAAGCTTTTTTTTATTATTACAACTATTTAGTTTTTTCGCGCTTTAATGCCTATATTATAACGATGAACGTGAAAGTGTTGCAACTTGCATTATTTCGACGGTACCTAACGTTTATGTAATGAGAAAAATAAAAAATAAATCTATATAATCTAATACACTACAAAATATAATAATTTATGGTACACCCACAGGCCGGAAGTTTATGCTCTAAAAACATCCGAAGTATGCACTTAAATTGTTTTTTTGTATCGCAATATTATAGTTTTATATCTTGTAAAAGATTTAATTAAAACTTTTTTTTTCATAATATTATAATACTAATCTATGTTATATTATAACTCTCCATTTTTCTAAACAAAATTAAACTCGCTAATAATTTACTAAACATTTCTGCGGTAGATTAGTTAAACATCAGTTTATTAGAATATATATTAGAAAATCAATATCAATATCAATGATTTAACGTAACACCCTCGTTTTCTTTTAAAATAATTTAAATTTTATCTTTTTTTATTTTTAGAGACAATTTAGTGTGTTATTTTACACTACAAGACGATATTAAAATTATTATATTTTTTTTCTAGATCTATATCAGCTTTTAAGCATTATATATGAATAATTTTGACTGGTCAATAACCGGTTTAGTATAATTACTTTTAAAATGATTAAACTTTAGGACGGGACGGGTTAAGTAATGCAAGTAGATAACAATTATACTGCACTCTACTTTACCTACCGTCATAAATTTTGAATTTTTAAAGTAATTATTCAAAACTGGTTATCGACCATTCTAAATGTTCAGCAAATTATTTTTAATTAAAAAAATTAATTAATTGAATACGTTATCATTTAAGTTTTCGAATTTTATAGTGCTTTTAAAACCTATAAAAGGTGATAAATAATTAATCGTTTTATAATATTATAAAAATGACATAAACGTTCAGTTTTTCAACTAGAAAATACTACTAAATTGCAATTATTTTAAGAGATATTGCGTGTCTTACGTTAAATAGATCACCCTGTTAATGAATAATGAGAATTTTCGGGTTCCCAACATCTAACAACAGTATTATAATATTATATTTTGTTAGTACACATCATCGTGCAAGATGTTTGCTTTGAATTGAATACTCGTTGTTACAGCACTATGTCCTGCGCAGATTCCGGTGTAACCGCATTGTACAATATAAATATACTTATTTCCTTATGGGTAATTATATTTGTAGGTATATTATAATCGACGTTGTAACTTGTATTGTTTTTCTTAAAGAGGTCAATGCGCGGTATGTTATAAATCCGAAACCGCGTAAGACGACCACCGACTAATATAACACAATATCATTGCTTGATTTATTTGCGCAGGATAAGTCTTTATCGGTGCGAAATACCTTTTCAGATATGATTATGACGCGATATCGCAAATTTCCGGCCAACGACTAATTCACCCACACACAGACGGTAGATGTACCTACATTATATTTGTATATACAATTCACAAGCGAGTTTTGAAGAGAGATAAAAAATCCAACCGAGAACAAAACGGGATATTGCACATATATCATAATTAACCGCACTCCCCGTAAACGTATTTAAGCATCAAAGGTATATACACATACTTATAATATATAAATATACATATGTGCATAAATAGATAAATAATATGCGATATAGATACTTGTGGCAGCATTATAGGTTAACAGATTTATGTACATATTATGTACACGTATATTAATCGTTTCGAATTGTATAGTATTATTCGCCAAGGCGGAGACAGCGCACAACCGGTGTGATATAGTTAAGTTTTTCAATTAGCATAATATCGAACATTGGGATCATTAAATGTATATTGTTGTGGGTGAAAGTCGATTTGAAATGATTTTTATTTTTACACAGCCTATACCTACTGGCTACTATAACTACTTAGGTTGTGGACAGCAAATTACTGTGGCGCGTCCGAACCCGAACTCAAAGAATATTATAATTTAATCAATCCTCGCAGCCGCCAAAAAAAAACTTAATAATATTATGTTCTTCACCTTCCTATACGCGTAGAACCGGCGCGGCGGCCAGTTCTTATCGTACAACGTAGACCAGCAGAAATCATCGTTTAACCGTACAATAACATGAGAAATGTACACGTGGCTTTTCTTCCCTCCAAAATTTCATATGAAGTACTTATCTTGTACACGTGCGGTCACAACAGAAATAATAGTTTATTCGCTCAAGATGAACATATAATATCATAAATAAGTTCTTGACCACAATAATTCTAGGCACGCTGTTACCATAACAATATAATGTATTATATTCTTTTGTATCAGACTGGCGCGCGCCAGTTCTGTCGCCGAGTCCAAAACACAATGAGTCAATGCAATGTGTGATAGATTATGATGTTAAGTCAAAAGAGAGACAGACGTATGCGTACTTGTTACACAAGTCAAAGTGCGGCCGCCTTTGTAGTGCCGGTATGAAAACCGCCATCGTTATGATAATTAATAATAATAATAGTACTTATCTAAGAATGAAAGTTCGTTTGTTATCGTGCCACTTTTTGTCGAACCTCACTGACAAACAAATTTACTCTAAAAAACCAATAGGCGTTTTTACTTTCGAGTCGGTCGTTGACATAAACCTGGGATCAATGGGGAAAATACATAGTTGGAATAACTAACTAATAGTTCCACCAATTAAGTGTTTAGCTAAATGAAATATAATTTTGGTTGGTCCAACTATATATTTTTTCCGTGCAATGGTGCGTAGCTAAACAAAACCTAATTATATTATACATTTATAATTATACACATATATATAAATATATTACTATTAATTACTAAATTCTTATTTAAGACCTACGCATTTATTAGTATACAATAATCAATTGGAGCAATTCTTAGACAATATGCCCTGTGGTGTTTAGAACCCACGTTGGCAGTTGCACGGAAGATATATACAATTTTTTTCAATCACTAGCCCGAATAAACTTGAACGTTAATTTCTGAATAATACAGCAGTCTTGCGTGACAAACCTAAATGTAAAAGTATTGTTTATAATATATTATTATGATCAACTAACGATGACAATAGCGTGTCGTTAACGTAATAAAAATAATATTTGTACTTGTATTGATACATTTTCTTTAGCTGTTATAACACAAATAATATATATGTTTAATGATTTCAACATGTTTTATGGCGCTATACGCAACATTCTACAGATAAGTTTAGAAGGCGTTAAAACGTTATTCTTATTGTAACGTATAATAATTAATAGTTAACCTACAAGTGCATCGTTAAAAAACAGATAATGATTATTACACCCATAAGATATCATTACGTTGAACGATATCTGCGTTTAAGACGGCCGTAAAACAACATAAGTCAAATAGCTAATAAATAAATAGGTGTAGGTCATACTATATAAAGTATGCGCGAACAGAGCACATAATATAAGCAGATAATATTTTATTAACAAGGTCGAACGGCAAAAAAAATGCGAGCAAATTTCCTAGTCCACATAAATAATATTTTATCAATGTCAACGGTTTGCGTTGGGCGCCATTTATGCGGTAATGGCACATTGAAACATTGAGGTGATAAGCAGAATTCAAAGAATTATTTACGGTTAAGGGAATAAATCAAAAACGCATACGAGACGTGCCGTAAACGTGTCAATACTTTTTGGTACAAAAAAATACAAAAATTGTGTATAAGTCTACATCAGAAAGTGTTTCGAGTCTCACAGCGTTTCCGAAAAAAGAAAGACAAAACAATTATAGTTTTAGAATAATATTGCGGTTATGGACACTATTTAGGGGGAGGGATAATTTCCCTGCCTATAGGTAATTTTGTGTATTTAGAAATAATTCAGGTATAACAAACATAAAGTTACATAATTATTTCTCTACACCTTAGACCTTGTATCGCGAACATATTTATATATGTTATTTATATGTTTGATGTAAATAATTTGTTTAAAAGATACCTACAATACTCTACTAACTACTATGATCAACACTGCACAAAGTCATTACTGCCCTTTTAATTTTGGCTAACTATCTCGGATGAAGCAATTATTTCTTTGTGTTGTCGACGTCTTCTTATATTTCTGAAACGGGATCTAATCAGGGATTTAAAATCACACCGTGAGTCTAACCACAAAAGAAATACACCCGTGACATAAACAAGACCTCAGCATAGCGTCAAACATAAAAAAAAGTGATTGTAAACCAA